CCTTTAGGTTTTCCAATGGTGCATTCAATGCCACTGAAAGTGAGTTAATCTACCTTGCTGCTGGCCGTCCTCCTCTCCTCTTTCCTTCCATCCTTCCCAGCATCAGAGCCTTCTCCAGAGAGCTGGGTCTTCACACAAGGTGTCTAAAGTAGGGTAATCTGAGCTTGACCATCTGGGACTCCAAGATGAAGTCTGGGTGAATTTATTCAATGATCCATCAGCTTGTTTTCTTGGCTGTCCACCATGCTGGTATCTTCTCAGGAGTCTTCTCCAACACCAATGTTCAGAGGTGTCAATACTTTCCCTTTGGGGCTTCTTCAAAGTCCAACTTTCACGTCCGTGGATTATCTCGAGGAGTAATCTGGTTGCTTGATTCCGATCTCAGCTTCCGCCTATGGCGGGTGGATCACCCACATCCTAGAAACAGCTGCAGCTAAACAAGAAAATATGGGTGAGACCTTCTCAAAAGCCAGTAGAGACTTGCCAATTAAGATCTTATGCATCCAGAGGCTTGTAGCCAAGTGCTTATCTGTCTTGGTGATATCGCCCACTTGGATACATCTGAAGCTCCTAGGGTTTTCTACCATTGTGTTTGTGGGTGTGGGTGTCTTAAAGTCAGTTTTTGATTCCTGGCAATTGCCTGGACAAGTCCCTGCAGTCGGCAAGATTTTGGAAGTGGTTTGCTTTCGGCAGCTTCTTAGGGCTGAGAGAGAAGGACAGATCAAGATCAAGAACCCAATTGGCTTCATGCCAAAGGCGAGACTCGAACTCACCGTCAATGTCAGGCCTATCATCTTCAGCATACACGACTTCGCTGGTATCCTGCCCTAAAATGCAAGGGGGAGGAATTGAGGAAGTAACGAATGGACATGGGAATGGACAGTAAAAAGGAAGGGAAAGACAAAAGAGCCTTGGTAGTACAGGGGTTTAAGGCACCCTGTTATTAAGCTGGTTATTAAGACCAGCTGTCTGCAATTACTGTAAGTTCAAATCTCACCAGGCTCAAGGTTGACTCAGCCTTCCATCCTTTCAAAGGTAGGTAAAATGAGAACCCAGATTGTGGGGGCAATAAGCTGACTTTGTATAAAATATACAAAAGGATGAAGGCTATTGCTGAGCACATTGTAAGCCGCCCTGAGTCTTCGGAGAAGGGCGGCATATAAATCAAAATTAAAAAAAAAAAATGACAGGAACCAGAGATGTCGATCCGGAATAAACTGGCCAATCAAGGATGGAGCCTGAGAACGGAATGTGAAACTATACCAAAAAGGCGCCAAAGTTGTTCCCAAAGCATCAAAAGCGAATGCTATTGGACACTGATGGACTGGCCAAGGGGGAATTTGCAAACTTTGCACGGGGAATATTCAGATCCAGCTTTGCTTACGCTGTAACTGCTTGACTTTATTAAAAGAACCTTTCATTTCAAAGAAATGGAGTCAAGGGTCTTTCTTTCCTAAACATCCAAGTTGTGACAAGCCTGACAATCTCCTGATTTCTAGCCCAGTGCCTTAACCACTGCTGGCTCTCTACCATAGTATCTGGCTCCAGATTTTTAAGAATCAGGGGAAAAAAATATGTCCTCACTTATCACTTCTACATCAGCACATCCCATATTCCAGTACATAACCATCCAACATCTGGTGCAAAACCTTTTCTTTAAAGGAAGACAAAAAAAAAAGAGGTGCTAAAAGCTTTCGATGAGTTGACAATACTCCAAAATCCTTCAACTGCCGGTACTCTCACCCACAAAGGGCTGTTGCAATCTTCAAACTTGCCCAGTTGGGAACAGCCCCAGTTGCCAATATTTTCTTTAAAAGGGTTGGGTCCTCAAGGATTTCTCACTGTGTTTTGATGAAACATTGCAAAAGGTTTATTTGTTTCTGCTTCCTTGCTCTGCTATTTTTCTGGAAGAGAATCGATGAGATTCCCCACCCAGACGATTTTAGGAACCAAGCTTTAAAAAAGCTATTTATTTCTCGTGTTTTTGAATCTTTGGCCTCCTCTTGTGGCTGAAAACAGCTATAACTGAGAGAGGAAAAAAGAAAGAAATTGGAGTTGAATACAGGGTATAATCCAGGACGTGGTGATTTATTATCAGCAGTAGAGTTTTTCCCCTACAAGGATATATAACTTCTTTTAATTTTTTTTAAAAGATGTTATTGCATAACTGAAAAGAAAGAAAAAAGAAGGAATATATTGAGAATTTACAAAATATAAACATCATATAAGATGTTGAAAGAAAAAGGAACAAAAACCATTTTCTTTCAAGTAACACTGAACTGGAACAGGTGTAAGCAAAATCATTTATCAGTTTAGCACTTTAAGAACTAATATTCCATTCAAAGCAGAAATGGATAAAAAAAAAACAGAAAAGATGATAGCATTATCACTCCAATTTCTAAGAATATAATTAAAAAGAATTATAAATTTATAAAAATTATAATTATAAATTATAAAAAGAATATAATTAAAAAGAACACTTCCGGTTGGTGACTTGCAGCGACAGGGTGTTGAGTGAGTGCTCGCTGCTCCTCAACACCCCTTTTCACCGTGTTCTGGGGATCCCTTGGGGGGCACGGGACCCGGAGAGTCCTGCGGACAAAAGGAAAAAGCTTTTATCTGGGCAGTAGGTCACTTCTTTCTTCTTGAATAAAGTTTTCCTGAATGGCCAAAAGTTAGATGGCTTGCCCTACAAGCCATGCCCTACATTTCAGGACTATCACAAAAAAACATGGAACCCAAAGTATTTGGCTTTCTAGATCCATTCCTGTGTAGATCTTTGGATGTTGGCAACATCCAAAGCCTTGTTAGATGGCCTTCCATGCAGCTGTGCCCACGATAGAATATAAATTGTGATGCGAAAGGCACAGCTGCCCATCAGCTGCTCAGCTGCAATTCAAACCCTATTTCTGCGAAGACTAGGAAGGGGGACCAGTGGGGTTCTGGTTGATTCTGGGTGGACTGGTGAAGGCCAAACATCAACTCTCCCTGAAAAATCAAGATGAAGAGATAGTCAGCAAGACACTAGATCAGTGTTTCTCAACCTTGGTAGCTTGAAGATGGGTGGACTTCAACTCCCAGAATCCCCCAGCCAGTGCTGCTGGCTGGGGGATTCTGGGAGTTGAAGTCCACCCATCTTCAAGCTACCAAGGTTGAGAAACACTGCGCTAGATTGTGCAGAAATGGATAGATTGACATTGAACATTAAAACAGAGATGTAGAATATTATCAAACATGGAATTTATTTTACCAATGGTTGGAAAAAAGGAGTGGAGATTAAAAATGTAGATTTGTGTTGTTAAGCAAACTAAATACCCAGACAACACGCTGTTAATTAAGCACTGAGAAATGTATTTAATAGAAAATCAATAAAAATAATAATAAAAAATTAAAAACCTCTCCCTGAAAAATCTCAGAGAAGCCCATTGTGTAGGGATGATGGCCAAGCAATACCCGACACCACCTTGGAAGTGTGCAGGAAGCACCTGCTACAAAATGGCGATGATAGCAAACAAGGGATGGCTATTTGGTCAGAGAGGAGACCTCCTGGTTAAAGGCCTCTTGGGGAAATTGAATCTGATCGGAGGACATATTTGGATATTTGGGACCATAGCACACCACACCAGTGAGGGGGGAGCTAAGATATTGGAAAATTAATAGCTGGAGCAGTGAAGGGCTAGACAACGAGTGACGACACACAGTTCTAACCAATCAGTTGAAGAGAGCCGGCCACTGCATGAGGGAATCTGAGCTGTTATTGGTTGCTGTGGGAGTGAAGGGGGGGTTTCCTTGTTTCCCGCCTTTTTCCTGTGTGCTGTGTGTGCGGTCTGTGATTTACCTCATGATGTTCCCGTTGTGTTGATTTACCTGACGATGCTCCTGTTTGCCTCCTGTAAATACATTTATTCACATAAAACTGAAAATTTGTGTCAATGTCTCTGACTCCACTTGCACACCGGCTGCGCAATTCCCTGACCAACCTGACCAGAGGACATATTTGGATGGAGACCATAGCACACCCCACCAGTGAGGGGCTCCTCCCTGTTAAGCTTCCACCTGTCCGCAAGGACTTCTTGCTGCCCATTCACAGCCTGGAGAGGGAAGGACTGCCCACCTGTCTCCTCATGGTCCCTTCCACACCTGAACGTGTCACCTGAACAGGTGTATCTCTTAGCTCACCCAACTAAAACTGAAAAAGCACCGACTGAGCCCTGTCCTCATGAAGCCAATGCTACAGATACAGGATGAGGATGGATTAGAGTGTCTTTTTTTGAACAGTACATCGGCTGCATCTCATCTCTTGAGGTGGGAAAGCCCAAAAGGTTAAAGGAACCTGCACGTCTTGTGGTCCAAGGGAATCAACAGTGCAACTCAACCAGTTTTCACAATAGCCCCAGAGTTTGTGGCAAGGGATGGATGAGGAGAGCAGAAGAACCGATGCCTCTCTTCCCACCTGGGCATCAGGCAAAACTAAAAAATATATTGGCATCATTTTTGAATTCTCTTACCCAGTATTATGTGTACAGTCTACAGACTTATCCGTAATCTTTACAGAAAGATTTAGACACAAAGCAGTTTAAGGATGAAGTTAAAATAAAGGTATTGACAGAAATTAATGACCTTTAATGACAAAAGTTCTGCCTTAAGAGGAGGATTTTTCTCATTACTTGTAGTTGTAGGTCAGAGTGGAAAGGTGATCCTCGAATTAGCCAGGTACATTCCTTCCCCAGGATTCGAATACTTAATTGGAATATAAGATCCAAGATATAAATCTGTAGAAGAATTGCTATCTCTTCTCCAGAAATCTGCCTGTGGATCTAGAAGTAGGGGCTGGACCCCTCTTGCTTCCTTTACCTACATCTGCAGGTACAAACTGTGGATGGAAAGGGGGGGACTGACTTGAATATAAGACATCTTCAAAAAATATGCGAGGGGACATTTTTCTGAGGAGGCATGGACAGGATTTTATTCGGTTTCCATTTTCAATTGAAGATCAAAACTTCTTTTGTTTAGAACCATTTAATATTTTTAAAGTAGGCAGGAAAATGTAGTCCAGAATCATCACATGCTTTTTATAAAAACCATCTTGCTTGGATGGCATTTGGAAAGGTAATTGTGTAAGTTTTATGAAATGAAAAGGGAAGGTGGTAGAGCTCAACTAGACACCCTAAATCTTGGTACCACCCCCACCACACACACCCTCCAAAACAGACAGATGAATGGATGTGAATGCTTCATCCTGGCTATCCTCGTTTAGCGATCACAGACAGGACCTGGAACCCAGTCTTTAAGCGAACCAGCCGCTAAGTGAAAGTTAATTTTTATGAAGTATCTCTCCATTGCCGCCTAAAAACAACTTTTAGAAGCAGGAAAGGTGAAGGAAACATTACAATGTTGTAAATTTGATGAAAGTGACGGTGGTGGCCCGTAAACACAAATAAACAAAACATAACGATTTCAGATTAAAATATAATGTGGAAGCCTTTTGTAATTAATCTGAAGGAAACCAATTGCTACCTAGGATGCCAATTCATGCAGTCTTTGGAGGAACGCCTCCAAAAGTCATTTTCATAGCTGTGAGGATATACTAGTGAAAATAGCATATGCTGTGAGAATACATTAGTGTGTGTCTCTATGGGTAAATTTATGTGCAACTCTTGTGGTCTCACACTTGGGCAACTAAATTTGGGCCTCGCTGAAGAAATGTGTTTTCGTTGCATGGTCTCAAAGGCAATGAATCCAGGGCTCTTGCAAGATATCCCCAAGCTGATAAGATCCTTTCCTATTCTTTTATGTTTACGAGGAACAGAAGGAACAGTCGAATAAAAGAGAGCATCAGTAACTGTGTCCCAGTGATGACTCTGCCCAGTTGCCACTGAATGCTGCAAGTGTTTCAGCAGAATAGGAAGGCTGGTGTGGTGCCTGTTGGGGAGAAGTGAGGAGGAAATATTCATCCCTCTCCTACAAGCTGAGGTCTACGACAATATGCTTGTAAACCAGTGTGTTCCCCTTGAAGCTGGGGGCTAGGAGGACACTCATGGCCTCCAAAGGGATAGGCTGGAAAGCTCGTGGAGCTTGGACAGACAGTTCCTGAAACTTCACAAACTTTTGCTTGTCTTCATCCCAAAGGTAGATGTGGGTAAAGGAGAAGTCACTCCCCAAAGCCATGTAAAGTTGCTGAGATATCTGGAAAGGCTCCATCACCATGGAGCCTCGGGAGGGCAAAGTCTGCACCTCTGTGAACCGCAGCCCTTCCCACCTGACCACCTTGGAATCTCCGATGTAGCGGCTCAGGCATAAGTAGTTGTCTTTCTTCATCTGGAAATGCTTGACCATCTGGACATCCAGCACTTCTGCGACATCCCCCCAGTGAGCAAACTGCTTCTGGGAGCGGTTCCACTGGTAGATGATAGGGGCCTGGGAGCTGCTGGAGATGATCAGCCGGGGTTTCCCATCAACCTCCAGGTACTCCACATCTGTGTCCCGATGCCACGAATGCAGGTCCTGATGGGGATAGAAGCCATTCTGGTTCCAGCGATAGAGGCTGGTGGAGCCTGCCTTGGAGCTGTCGGCGATGACAAAGAACCACTCGCCATCGATCTGGAAGGCCTCGATGTCATTGGGCTTCCGGATCTTCTGGCTGTCTATATCTTGGATCTTAATGAACTTGTCGATGTTGGTGTCCCAGCGGTAAATGTAAGAGCCTCCAAAAAGCTGAGCCACCACAACGTACAGGTGGGATTCTACCACAATTGGTTTGCAGTAAACGGCGGAGTGAGCTGCAAGAGAGAAACGAGAGAGAAAGCATTGTTACTGTGGCATTGTGCGGCTTGTGTGTTGTGGCCTGTCGGCTGCCGGCCCCTCCAGCAGCCGAATCAGATGAGGAGGAGTCGTGGGAGTCAGGATCAGCATCAAGGCAACCTGAGAGCTCCAAGGGGGAAGAGGGAATGGAGCTAGGGGGAGAGAGAGAAAGAGAGAGGGGGGGAGTGAGTGAGTGTTGTGGCTCTGTTGCATGAGTCTGGGCTATCGACAGATGCAGACTCTGAGAGTGAGGGAGAGGAGTTGGCAAGGCCTCCCTCTCCAGGACCCTCCTCTCTGGCAATGCCTCCGGAGGACACCGAAGGCCAAGAGATAGGCCCAGAGCCAAGCACATCCCCACAGCCACAGGTGGACAGCGACGAAGGAGATAAGTGCTGGCTGGATCCTCGACAGCAGCGCAGGGAGAAGCGTGCGCAGCAGAGGGGAAGGCGTGCCAGAGATTAGTTGAGTCACTGGACCACACCCCACAGGGTATAAATGTGGGTGTGGTGGCCGGTTCAGTTTGTGACGAGCAAAAACTAGAAATAATCCATGATCTCTGCATTGCTGGACTTCTGCCTGCCTTGTCAGACTGCATTTGGACTAATCCTTGTATTGCTGAAACTTTGCCTGCTTTATCGGAATGCTTGCAGTCTAATCTTTGTTTTGTGTGAGTAAAGTCTGAATTGGCAGCTAGCCACTGGGTTGCTGCCAGCTTTATCTTCAAAGACTTTGTCATGTGGCTTATTAACTCCGGGCCGCCTGTGGGGGTGCGTGTGTGGGACGGGGACAGAACACACAGAGAGAGAGAGAGAGAGAGAGAATGCACAGAAGCATCGAGCACATGCGCAAGCACACACGCGCACCCATGAGCAAGCCAATAGTGATGGGTTTTGGAACCCGCCCCTGGCACAGATGTGCAGAAGGCAGAGGAGAGGAGAGCAATGGAAATCCATGGCTTTTCCCCTTTTGCCCTGCAGGTGTGCTTTACCAGGGATGCGGTCAAAATCCCGCAGTTTGCGCTCTACGTAGTCCCACTTCAGGATAGTACAGCTGCTGGAACTTGGCTGGGCCAGAGCCACGTAGAGGTCACTGGAATAGGTGAAGGGCTCAGCAGACACGGACTGGAAAGGCAGCACCTGATGCACCACGAAGTCTGGGGGGAAGAGGAGGGGGAGAACCAATCATGTTTAGGGGGTTCCTGTAAAGCCTGGAGGAATTTACAATCGAGATGTCAGAAGCACAAAATACACTTTCCATCCAAGGATCTTCTCCATGCAGGAGCATTCACCATAGATGTTTTTTTTAAATATTTGTCAATTTTAATACGCAGTCATTTCCTTCCTTTTTACTTAATATGATGACTTTGGCCCAATTACAAGGGTTATAAATTTATGTGGTTTTTACAATAAATCAACACAACAAATATTTAAAAAAAGAAGACTTCATCAAAGCTATTTATTATTTCAGACTGAAAAGTATTTTTTCCTGGTAAACATTAGTGCCTTTTAACGTTAATGCCTGAAAAGCCTCTTTACATAGCACATAATAACAATTTCAAAATAAGATAATGTCCTTTATTAGAACGTAATTTGGCCTTGATGTACTATATTTGAAATATCAGCTGATTGCAAGGTGAATTTTGGCACCTGCAGCTCCTTTATATATGCAATCTTCTTCTTTTTTAGAAATTCCAGCAGCCTCGCTGAAAATGTGTCAAATAACATCAATAATACTTTTTAAGTTAACTAATCCAAATCTTGTAATTTTACAAACAAATCCACCCCTATGCCTGTGAAATAGGAAAAGTTTGCACCAGTAACTTCTTATCTTACTAAAGATAAAGGTTCCCCCTCGCACCTATGTACTAGTCGTTCCCAACTCTAGGGGGCGGTGCTCATCTCCGTTTCAAAGCTGAAGAGCCAGCGCTGTCCGAAGACGTCTCCGTGGTCATGTGGCCGGCATGACTCAACGCCAAAGGCGCATGGAATGCTGTTCCCTTCCCACCAAAGGTGGTCCCTACTTTTCTACTTGCATTTTTTACGTGCTTTCGAACTGGGAGGCTGGGACAAGTAACAGGAGCTCACCCCGTTACACGGCACGAGGGATTCGAATCGCTGAACTGCCGACCTTTCGATCAACAAGCTCAGCGTCGTAGCCACTGAGCCACCGCGTCCCTTTCTCATCTTACTAGATAACCTTAGGTTATAAATGTTTGGAAGTTGTCAAGGGAATTGAGGCAACTTCATCCTAAGCCCCAGAAGTAGCTGGAAAACATGTATGTAAATTTGATCGATCAAATGTTGACCTAATTGAGGAGTTCTGATACCATTTCTTAGACAGCTGCACAAAGACACCCGTTCCTACCTGTAGTGATACAATCGAAATTCTTTAGAGGAAGTTCTCGGATCTTCTGGCCTTGGTACTGTGGAGGACCACCACAGAAAACAGCAGGCATGCTTGCATTGGTGTTCTCCATCCATTCTACCAGCCATTTGATCTTGCAATCACAAGTCAAAGAATTGCCCCGAAGATCTCTGTGAGGATGGAAAATTTGGGGACTGTCATTGAACTTCTCCATCTCAGCTCTAGGCCCTGTAGTCCTCAAAAGAAAGTGGTTCGAAATGCAAGTGTGGAAATGGGGGTCAGTTCTCTCATGGAAGAACTACAAATGTAGATTCAGTTCTAGTATCTTCCTCTTTGGTGTGGGGCCTTCCCACCACTTGCTTTTTCGGAATTAATCCATTTGCTGCGCTTGTGTTTGGAACCATAAACCTTTCATTGTTTGGATAATCAATACAAGCTAAACCACATGCACAGTTGCGTGCTAGTCATTCCCAACTTTAGGGGGCAGTGCTCATCTCCGTTTCAAAGCCGAAGAGCCAGCGCTGTCCGAAGACGTCTCCGTGGTCCTGTGGCCGGCATGACTCAACGCCAAAGGCCCACGGAACGCTGTTCCCTTCCCACCAAAGGTGGTCCCCATTTTTCTACTTGCATTTTTTACCTGCTTTCGAACTGCTAGGTTGGCAGAAGCTGGGACAAGTAAGAGGAGCTCACCCCATTATGCAGCACTAGGGATTCGAACCGCTGAACTGCCGACCTTTTGATCGACAAGCTCAGCATCTTAGCCACTGAGTCACCGCGTCCCCTTGGGGAATGTTCCAGCCTCAAAAAAAGTTAAGATGATTCTTGATAATTTAATCAGCAGAAAATGAGGACAGAATCTGCAATCCATAACACAGCCCAATACTGTCCATTTTTTATGGAACATTTTATGTTACACAAATTAAGGTATGGAGCATCCTGTTACATATCTGAAAAGTCTCTATCTGTAGCCAATGAACTCAAGTGTTTTCTGGCCCTATTCCCTGCTCGGATGCCCTCTGAGGAAATGGGAATTCAGCTCCCGTTGTCTCACTTTCAATTTATTATTCTCTTAATTGATATGGAATTGGGCTGAGGAAGTGTGCAACTTATATCTTTAAAAATCTGGAACACTGTCCAGTCATAGATAGCAATAGCACTTAGATTTATATACCGCTTTACAGTACTTTACAGCCCTCTCTAAGCGGTTTTACAGAATCAGCCTCTTGTCCACAATAATCTGGGTCCTCATTTTACCCACTTCAGAAGGACGGAAGGCTGAGTCAACCTTGAGCCTGTTGAGATTTGAACTGCCAGATTGCAGGCAGCTGGCAGAGTAGACTGCAGTACTGCACTCTAACCACTGCGCCACCGTGGCTCAATATATTTATTTTATTTTATTTCCAATTTATATACCGCCCTTCTCCCTGAGGACTCAGGGCGGTGTACAGCCAGAATTAAGAACATAAAATACAAATATTAAAAAACGGTTAAAATATGTATAAATTTGGCCCAAAAATTAAAAATCACAAACCAATTAAAAAGATTTAAAAATTTCTTCTTAAAAAGTGAGTTTTAAGGGCACGGTGGAAGGCACTGAGGTCATGGATTCTCCTTATCTCTGGGGGCAACTGATTCCAGAGGGTAGGTAATATATATTCTCTTCTCTGTGGTTTCAGTGGAAAAATAATAGGTGTGTGTTTAAATCATATTCCCTGCTGTTCCATTCATTATTTACGTCAATTGATTTTGTAAGTTTGTCTCTTAATTGTCTCGCTTCGCTTGTTTCACCCAAAGCCTTCCCATTAACTACAACTATCTCGGGTCGTTGTACTAATGAAATTAACAATCATATGGTTAAAAATTTCTAGTTCCAGAAAAAAATTAGCCAGGTTATAGTGGAATTACACAATAATGTTGCATGCATCATGAGATCACTGCACAAATGGTGCAAATTCTGTAATTTGTGCAATTTGCATGATGACGTCACATTGATTATCTGATGGACATCCATTTATTGGATGTAATGGACAGCCATTCCTGTTACTGTTATTTTTATAGCATTCACAACCAACAGAGAGCCTTACAGATCACTAAGGATATCCAAAGGCTTCAGGAGATCTCTGGGCAGCGTCTGCAGGTTGTTGTTGGCCAAAGATCTAGCAGAAAAGAGACAACTATTTTATGCCAAACATTTCATGATCCTCCTGACATTAAGACTGAACAAGGAAAGGGAGGCTTGCAGGGCGGGGCTACAACTGTGTTTTGGGAACATACTTCAATGAGCAAATGTTCATCCTTTGTAAGAGTGGTGAAGAATCGTACAACTGAAAAGTAAGCACTCTTTTCCACTTCTCTTTCAAGGTAGAGAAACTCAGACCTTAAAAATGAGGTGGCAAAACAGAAGCCTCCTTCTCAAGCAAAGAAATTATTTCAACAATCAGAAGTCTTAATTCATCTCGGGTCTTGATCACCATGAAGATAGATACCATGGCGCTTTTTTTTTTAACTTTTTACCAAGACATAAAAAAATTGTAAATAACAGATAATATTTAACATATGTAAATGATCAAAAAAAAGTCAAGGAAGCAGTCGATCCACTAAAGAGAGAAGATAGCAAGGAAGTTACACGCAGTAGAGAGAAAGCAGAGCTGCTTAACTCATTCTTTGCATCGGTCTTCACACAAACCTACCCAACTTACCAAACAACATAACTGTAAAAAGACAGACTAAAAAGAAAAACTAAAATAAGCATGAAAATATTTAGAGAACATCTGTCTGGCCTTGATGGCTATAAACCACCAGGACCTGATGGATTACATCCCAGAGTTTTGAAGGAGCTGGCAGATGTTATCTCAGAACCATTGTATCATATCTTTAAAAAATATTGGAGCACTAGGGAACTAGCAGAGGATTGGATTGCACGGGGTTAGACTAGAAGACCTCTAAGGTCCCTTCTGGCTCTATTCTGATTGATTGATTGATTTTAGGCTCTGGAGAAAGTCAAAGCCTCTTGAGCCAGATAGACGTGAAATGAGCTGTGTGTAAGGGAAAACTCACAGATGTGTCAGGGACTTCAGCCCACGAAAGGCGTTTTTTGACAGAGTCCGGATGTCGTTGTTCTCGATGAACCTAAGGAAACAAAAAACAAGATGGCAAGGGGCATATTTTGTTAAGGTCCCACCTACATTTCTCCCATCACCTCCCAACCCACTTTCCTCTAACAACGAATCCCCTTTCACCTATGTTTTCCCATAAGAAAAGGTCCAAATGTCCCTCAACACGCAGTCCCTAGCTTCCATCCTTTCCTTCTTTGAGGATGCCAACCCACAGCAGAG